CTAAATTGTGCAAGGTTCCTCTAGAAGGCAGTGCATTAATTTTTAAGTCACTTAAGTTAGTAGGTCAAATTGCCTATAAGAAACGAAGACACTTGAAAAAATTTATCTACTATTCAACTCCACTAAACTTTCCCTGACCCCATATTCCCAAACCCCGGAGCTTAAAGTAGCAATTAGAGGTCAGAGGCCAGATGGGGTGGGCTACATTTTCGTCGAAGGAAACCAATCATCGTACCAACAACAAGCCTTTCTTACCTGAGTTCCTTTGATTATGACTGTGTGCGCGGGCAGATTAACACCCCATGCGAGAGTGGCAGTGGATACAAGTACTTGTATGTGGCGATCGGCAAAAAGGTCTTCAACGAGGGTGCGATCCACGCGACTCATGCCAGCGTGGTGCATACCAAACCCGTAAGGTAATAAGTCCTTCAGCTCAGTATTTTTTACTTGCTCGGCCTCCTGACGCAAGACCATGGTGGAAGCGTTTTTATCCTTCATAAAGAGGCCCAAGGTGTCTTTTTCAAGACACATGTCACGTACAGCGCGCGCTGTCTTGCCCGTCTCCTTACGCGAATGCACAAAAACTAAGATCTGGTTGCGACCAGCGTGTTCCACCACTTTATCGTATACGATCTCGTTCATCAGCTGAAAACGCTTCACCGCCTTCTTTTCAGTTATACCAATGTATTGCTGCTCCAGTGGAACGGGACGGAAGCTACAAGAGATTCATTAAAAAAGTTAATCTTATCAATTAAAATGTATTTTGACTTGAATTGATCGTTGAAATATATCTTTTTTCGACAAATATGCCACTTCTATTCAAGAAAAAGCCCGGATTTTGATACTACCTAAATAAACCAACCTTGGCAATCTGTTAAAACAACACGCGACTTTCGGTAGTGCATACAAAATGCAAACACTTATTGCAAGAATCCATTTACCTCGGGTCTGACATTCGACAAATAGTGTTCGGGTGCCACTAAACTTAGTGTTTGCAGCGAAATCATAACATCGTATGATTTTATCTAAATGAAGTTATGACATGGAGGACAGATCGACTAATAAAAACGTACCTGTTATCGAAGTAAAACAGTCCTTTGTCGACGTCAACTCTGAGAAAAGTTGCTACATCAGCATAGTTTGGCAGAGTAGCGCTGAGCCCGACCAACCGGATGCTGTCGGGACTGGCAACACTGGCCCCCGAGGCACTGATACCACCAGCTGCTACTGCTTCGGTTGCGCGCAGGGTCCGAGCGACGATGGCTTCGAGGATCGGTCCTCTGTCATCGTGCAATAGATGGATTTCGTCGAAGATTATGAGGCGTACCAAGTTAATGTAAGCACGTTCGTCACCGCCACGACGTGTTACCACATCCCACTTTTCTGGAGTGCAGACGATCACTTGCGTTTCTATGATCTGTTGCCGACTCAGCTGATGGTCACCTGTCAACTCGTCTACCTTGATACCGTAGCTGCTCAAACGCTAAAATTTGACGTTGCTTTGTTGGAAAAACGTTTAATGGGAGCGAGCAGTTGACCTGAATAAATTCACCCATATTTGCGACATGAACCCAGGCACCGCTGTACATAAACGCAGGTTCGAGAAAAAACCAAAATAAGTCCCCAATCCATAGCTACAGGTGTAAATAATGGTGTTAAGTCATTTTAAAGTGCATTTTTAGAGCGGCATCAGAAATTCAAGCAAGGATTAAAACCAGAAAGGCTGTCAAATGTTAGAAAACGAGCTCAAATAAATTAAAATACAAAGGAAAATGAAGTGGATCCAAAATCTACTATCGTGACATAGCCCTAATCCAATTTGTGACCATATTAATCATGGTTGAGTGGAGCAAGCTAGAGGATCTAAAGAGTACGACGCCAGGCTAATTTCCTAGATTTGCGTAACACGTGTCTTACAGACGATTACCTCCTCCAGCGTTACATCATTTGCAGTGAATTAGGGGAATAACAAAGGATTTCGCATTTCATTTATGGATGTTACTACACTTAAATAAGTATTTTGGCGGCATTCATCTCAAAGCGAGACTTGATTGCACAGCGGTTACCTCCTTTGTATCATATAACATATACAACCTTAAGTTTCATTATCCTGCAATACCCGGCCATATTCAAGGGCACAGACCTGTGATTCAACTCAATACTTGGGTTTTTGCTAACTGCGTACGACATTCGGCTCAGGATCTGTGGTATGTGGAATTTTAATGACACAATTTAGTGGCCGTGAAGACTTAAAAACCTCCAAACAAATGCTAAAACGCGATCAGCGACCCATTCCCACAAAAAGATGAGGAGTAAACTCAAAATTACATAACTAACCTTATTAAAATTGCCAACCATTTCCTGAACTAGAGACCGCATCGGAGCAATGTAGATTATTTTAAAATTATCCTTATTAATGCTACCGTCGGCATTGATATGTTGTCCAAGTTCATGCATGATACAGAGGAGAGCGACATTAGTCTTGCCTGCACCCTAAATGTAAAAACGTGAAAATAAAAAATGCACATACGATATAATTAATTGACTATGCTTACTGTAGGTGCACAAAGTAGAAGATTTTCATCCGTTTTCATAGCTGCATTGTACAAACGAGTCTGAATTCGATTAAGTGTCTTAAACCCATCAAAGGCTGGTTTTGCATAGGCAGGGAGTTTCTCAATTTTTAGAAGGGATTCGTCTTGATCAAACGGCTTTGGTCGAAGAGCGGGCACATGCACTTCCTCATAGCCCTTTTTCTGAGTTCGAAAAGAACCTTCTGGAAGTTGGCACCGTTTGTTTGCCATCAAGTGACTACCCTGGGAAAACGTTAAACTAGCCAAATCAATGGCATTGGCAACGACCCCTTTTGCATCATCAGATGACATTTTATCTCCGTCCACATCACCCTTTGCAGTTTCCTAAATTAAATATACACATAAGATCGTAAAATGCACAACCGTATTAAATATGTAAAATTTACGTACGCGCAAACGAGCAACCCTTTGACTAGCCTTGCGGCTCCGCTCATCTGCAACATTATCACCTGATCCAGTTGTTTCACGCAACTGTTTTAAAATCAAAGCCAGCTTTGGATCAACTTTCATTTTCGCTTCCAATTCAGCCCGTTCTTGGGGAGACTGGGCTTGAGCCAAAAGGGTGCAATGTAGGATCATTGCTGGATAGCGGCGAAGCACGCGAAGGAAGCCAAATTGCTCATAGCCAATACACCTAACTAAACGGTTTTCCAAATCGCGATCGTCGGTGGCTGTCCCGAGAATATCAAGACATTCTTGAGCCTTTTTCTGAGCCAAGACTGGATCCTAAAAGTTAACATACAATAAGGCTGCATCAGTGAAGATAAGACAAATCCGACCATTATCGAGTAAATTACCTTGCAATGTTTTGAAACATTTCTTTGAAGCCAAAAGGCGTCAATGTCCCGCGGGTGAAGTGAGTCGATATCACTTTTTGATTCAAATCCCCCATCAGTCGACTTTGATTGGAGGGTCATTTCTTCACCTGCTTCTTCGCCGTCCATATCATCCTCGTCGCCCTCTTTGATTTCAAACTGAGTATCATCTTCGTCCTTAAGTAAGTAAGCAAGACGCAAGCACTAGACTACCTTACCTCTGGGTCTGATTCCTCGAACTGAACATTAACTCCATAGGCCTCATCAATGTTCTCCTCAGTAACTTTCTCAATATCTTCTTTCCAATCGGTTATTTTTTTAACAAGGCTTAGAATAATGTTGTATCTTTCATCTGCTAATGGACCTAGCAAAGAAAAAGAATAATGCTGAAGTTGCAGCATACCAATTAGACTTTCTACTTCCTTACGCCGTTCTTTGTCCCTTAGTCTATTACTTTTTAATGTAGCCAGAACCTCATCGGCAGCACCACAAAGGATTTCTCGCGACTGGTCACCGAGTGCTTCTTGAATACAATGAAGAATGTATTCATAAGTTTTACGAGTTTCTGGTGTTTTGGGTCTGTACAAAATACCAGAAATCTCCTCAAGATCGTCGGTTAGAAGAGAAGACCCCTTCATTTTCATTTCATCATACTCCTGTTCTTCCTGCTTTCGACGTTTGGCCTTTTTTTCTTCAAGCATGCTAGGTCTAGTGCGTTGTGCTTTAGAGCCCATTTCTTCGATTCGAATTTTTCCAGCAAGTGTAAGAACTTCACCAGTGGATTCATCTCGAGACCGCCGATCAATGAGCGATCGATCAGCAGTCATCACCAGATTTGAATTAATGTTGTATTCAAACTGCAAACTTCTTGCAGCCTGGTCAGCCATCGCGAAAAATAGCAGAAAAGAGACAACGCGGCTCACGAAATTTCAAAACACGGCCTCACCGTGACGATTTTTAAAACAAACGAGTATGGTTGAAAATTAAGATTGATCAAACAATTTTCACACTAAATATATAAATCAAATCACAACATTCTGATTGCTGAAGCATCGAATCCTCACAGATGTCTTCTTTATTTTGTTTATGTGAATTCAGCCCTGAACCACCCTTCCAAACTGGTCTCTTTTCGAGTGGTATGGCTCTGTTCGGCATCACGTCGAGAGCTGCGAGGTTTGGTAAGTAGCTTTGCTAAAATCACTCTCTTTTTTATAAACAGGTGTAGAGTATTTTAAACTGGCTCGGTTCGTGCATATTAGTCCGCAGCAGTTAGCAAAAGACTATTACAAGATATTGGGAGTTAATAAAGATGCCTCTCAAGCCGATATCAAAAAGGCCTATTATCAGGTTCCTGAGCCATTACTTATATATTTTTGTAGCTTGCCAAGAAATATCACCCAGACATCAATAAGTCAGACAAATCTGCTGCACAGAAATTCGCGGAAGTCAGTGAAGCCTACGAAGTATGCTTTTGCCAATATTACATGTGTATTAGGTACTCGGTGATGACGAAAAGCGTAGGTCCTATGACTCGTTTGGTGGTTCCTCACCTGGGGGATTTTCTGCTGCGTCGAATGGCTTTGACAATTTCCACTCAACCATAGATCCTGAAGAACTTTTTCGCAGAATTTTTAGAGATAGCGATTTCGCATTCCGAGAATGGAGTACTGGTGACAGAAATTTTGCAGAGTCAACTTTTGGATTCAATACTACCAGAGAAGTTGTTGTCAATCTCTCGTTTGAAGATGTAATGTTATACCGATCGATTTGTGATACTCATTTTTTTTCTTTGCGGCTTGTTCTTTCAAAAAGATTACGATAAATTAACATTCTTTCTTTTCTATTACGTCCTTGACTACTTTCCCTTTTTTATGTAGGCTGCAAAAGGTGTCACAAAAGATATTGCCATCAACGTCGTGGTTCCTTGTTCTACTTGTGAGGGATCACGTTGCCAACCCGGTACTGGAATGGTCACCTGTCCCAATTGCCATGGCTCTGGTCAGGAAACTGTTAGTACGGGTCCATTCGTACTACGTTCGACTTGCCGCCGGTGCTCTGGCTCTGGTAATGTGGTTCGATATCCCTGTCGAGCATGTAATGGGACGGGCCAAGCAATTGGTAGAGAACAAGTCAAAGTCGCTATTCCTCCAGGAGTTGAGGATGGCCAGGTTTTGCGCGTTTCTGTGGCTACTGGAAGAAACAGAAATCGGTATGAGCCATCACAGGAGTTGTTTGTCACCGTCCGTGTTGAGGCCAGCCAACACTTCAGGCGTGACGGCGCAGACGTTCATTCAAATGTTACGATATCACTTGCTCAGGCAGCACTTGGAGGAAAGATTCGTATACCAGGCATTTATGAACAAGTGGTAGTGACGGTAATTTCAATTGGTTTCTTTGTGGCTGATGTACAAAGTTGCTAATTCAAGAAACTCTTTGTCTTCCGTCGCATTCTTTAGTCTATTTGAATTAAATTTCGAAATGTTGCTCATTACAGGGCCTATAAGCATGATATAGTAACGTCGTCCTTTTCCTCGTACAGATCCCTGCTGGATCATCAAGTCATGATAGGATTCGCCTTCCTGGAAAGGGCATCAGCCGTGTAAATGGACGCGGCTATGGGGACCATTATGTACATCTTCGTGTTAGTACACCCAAGTAAGATTTTACTTCAAATTCTTTGTGTTCGCTGGCTAATCATGGTGAATAAGGTCCTGCTCTGTGCATGACGCGTGCATTTACTGGTATTACCAGCCGAATGTGCTTTCTCATCAGAACTCGTTTAACCCAGAAGAAACTCATAATACATACTCTAGTGTATTATTTTTAGACGTCTTACGGAGCTCCAACGGGCGCTGTTACTGGCTTTTGCGGAAACTGAAACAGATGTAAAAGGGTCCGTGGATGGCGTTGCATCAACGGAATCAGGTGCGCTAATTGTTCATATACTACTGTCATTGGAGAGTGACAGAAGGCTTATCAGTGACGGCTTAATTTTCCTGACTTACGTCAACGCTCTACCTCAGACATAAGAACACAATCAGTCCAGTCTTGCTCCATGTAACCTAAAATCTAAGTGTTCTGTCACTCTCCAACTTTAGCTCTTTCGCGTCTGCATCAAACTCTCACAAAACTGAGTAGCAAAGACACAGATTGGTCAGGCACCAGGGCGTCTTCACCTGAACATTGCAATGAGACGGAATCGAAAGATGGTGGCTGGATATCTCGTATCAGCGATGGAGTGAAACAAGCGTTTTCTGCAGCCAAAGCAGTTATTGGCGGTGTTTCCAAGAAGTAGGATGTACATGCACCTAGGTTCGGCTTGTGCGCATTTTATGCCGATTATTTACCTCTGAGACCTCTTTAACAGTAATTTGTCCCATCATTACATGGGCAAATTTTCTCAAATGATGCACATCCTATTCGTAAGCCCTTTAAAGCTGAAGTTCTAGTTCTCGTTCCATATTTACCAATGCGGACCTATCGCGTGCCAAACAATCGTGATTTAAAAGTTCACTGTCTACAGACTCACGATTCTTCCCATTGGTGTCACAATAGTGTTAAAAAGAAAACCTCGTGCATAATCCTCACACAGCCCCTACGAGTAAAATGCAGCGCCATTTTGTTATGGTGGTAGAGGTAGTGTCGTGCTTCTTTTGCTGTTTAAGACTAATCATATATCAGCATTCCCGTATTTTTTGCACATCTTTTAACCGATTGAACCTTGATTTGAAGCTGGTCGTCGTGCTATAGACAACACCCGGGGCTTTCTTCTTTCTCGTATTCGAACAGCCGTGGCCAGTAATTCCCCTCCTTCGGAAACCAAACAGAGCTCCCATGAAAAAAGCGCTTCAAGTGCTAATCATACCTCGCAACCCCAACAATCTGCCCCATTGCGTGAAGACACCACGTTTCCTAACGTTGAAAAGAAGCGGGAAACATCCAAATAGACTCCTCCCCTATTTGTAGTTTGACCATCTACTTATTTCCCTGGCCGCAAAGCCGCCAATCGCTAGATTTTTACCAGTGCCACTGGCGTTACAATCCATCTCATTGCTTTTGTCGAGTACTGGCTCTTTGTTGGGATAAACCTTGTGTTTTCTGTACTTTTGACTTCTTCACAAGCCGATTTGTCTTGGCAATTTTCCAATGCTCGACATCGTTATTAGTTCCTACAGCAATCGATCGCTATATCGCTTCTTGAGATAGTACCTTAGGCTAGCCTCGAAGGCCGTAGAATTCTAGTGCGAAAACATCCTTAGTAGCAGCTATCAAGGCAATTGTCCCCACCTAGTTGCGTGGGCAATTTCAACTGATTCCCCTTAGTAAATGTGTTTAGGAGTCATATCTAACTTTTCTGGTAAAATGGAAAAAAATGGCTTGTGTACAATGGCTTGATGCAAGGATTGAGGTCGTAGCGGCTGCGTCGTCCGACTCCGCTCCCTCTGTGACGTTTAGCCAGCCACCCAGTCACGAAAACACTTCAGGGAGGGTTATATATTATACATAGCACCTTGAAAATGCAATGTCTATTTATGCAAATTAAAATATAACTAGTTAATTGATTGTTGTGACCGGAGTAAGATCGACGGAGGCATCCACCGGTAATGCACTAGTCACGTCCTTCGTCTCTGTGTCACTATCTGGAAGAGAAGATTATCAAATGAAAGAAAAAATCGTTTGAAAATTTGGGGGGAATTGTACAGACATCTACTTTTTTGGAAGTCGCCAAACAATAATGCGAACGTTTCAATCTATCGTACTTGTTTCATCTGAAGGATCAAGGCTTGGAAGCCTACTGGTCTTTGCGGTTTGGTTTGAGGTAGGAGGTTCAGTCCGTAATTCTGGTGGACGAGATGACATTGTAATGATGCTTCCACCTGTTGGCGTTAAAACGTTCGCTTGCGCTCGACAAAATCCGCTCTTTTTGGGCTGCGCGTTTTCGTCATCAGCAACTGGAACCCACTTAAATACCAACATCGAAGTATCTTTAACCGGTACCCACTTCTTTTCCCTACAATGTATGCCAGTGTGAAAACATTGGATAGGTTTAGTGTCATCATCCAATGAAAAATGGCTACATTTTCAACCATTCGAGGCATGGGGGAAAATTTACATAAGAGTACATTGAGTCTTCATATATGGAAGACAAGCAATGTAGAGGTTATCTGAGATTTACTCCCCGAGAAGAAACGAGCTAAAGGCATCGTACACATTCAGATAAAAAGGTAGTTAAAAAGATTAATTAACGGGAATTTGCCAAAATGTCATTGGAAATTTCTTCAGCATCTCTAAGGGTGATGTACATGATAATTCTAGAAATTACATTCTCACGGTGGGGATGTAAGGACGGCTGAAGGCAACCAAACACGATGACTCGTACACCAATTCAAACATCGAGAGTTAAAAAAATACAGGCACGTCGGATTCCGAGGGCATGCTATGAAGACGATGAGGGAAAATTTCAAATTGCTTTATAAGAATTTATGACATGGCGAAGATTTTTAAATAACTCCAAAACAAAACAACATGAAGTTATTGTTTTTGGGCAAATGTGTCCAAAAACAAACAAATTCTTGAATTAGTAATAGAGAATCCGATATTCATTGAATCTTTACTCAAGTTAATCATTGTAATCATACCAGCGTTAAAACAAAAATGTACCATTTCTGAACCTTTTCCGTCGATTTATGAACTCTTCTAGTGTCGTCCCTTGCGCGGCTGCGTGTCTCAGCTCGAAGTGCCCTTGCAAACATTTACAGAACAGAAACTGCTGCCAACTAACAAAATGCCAGAGGCAATGGCCGGCCACAGCACAATTGGCTTAAATCGGAATCAGAAAGCAGCGCAAAACTTATGCCCACACACAAACAAAATCGCACGTCCTAGATTCCAAAACATATCTTAACAAAAAATTCTATGCATTCATAAAGTAATCAAATGCAATATTCTACATTATACTAGTTTTTTTTTAAATTAAACATGTTCCATATATAACCAGAAGTATTTTTTTAATTCAATAATTAAATCTACTGATAATAATAACAAGGTAGGTTAAAGTTTTTTTAATTTTATTACAAAGTGTCAACTTTTTCAATAAAAATCAACTTAAGCTTACCTCTATAAGCTATTGCAAATAAAAAAAACCCGTCGATTCGTGTAGGTACTATAAAAAGTGGGAAGTAGATAATATAAAGCGTTGTCAACATTAAGTGGGCTAGAGAAATGTAAAAACAAGGCCCTAAAGCATATAAAGCAGGAAGAACCTAGATCCCATTGGTTCTTTGCCCTTAAATCAAGCACGATAGGTTGCAATATCTAAATCACCTGTATAAGACGTTTGTCGTTCATAAGCAATGAGGCCACAGCGTTCAAGGGTAAGTGCAGCAGTGTGAATAAGATCACGCCGACGTTGTTCCAAC